TGTGGGCACATCCGTAGGGGGTGGTGTGCAGGAGGCAGCTGATCGATGTTTCTCTCTCATTGATGTTTCTAACTCTCTATTCCTCTCCCTACCACCCTGCAAAAAATCAATAAAATATATTTTTAAAAAAGAATAACATAATGTATAATATTTTGCAAGGTTAGCATTTTTACTAATATTTTTCTTTTTTGTCATTTATTGTTTCATGTGCGAGAGAAACATCCATTTGTTGTTCCACTTATTTATGCATTCATTGAGGTACATGCCCTTGACCGGAATCGAACCCGGGACCCTTTTCTGCAAGCTGACTCTCTATCCGCTGAGCCAAACTGACCAGGGCTATTGGTTGCTTCTTGTATGTGCCCTGACCAGGGATCAAACCCACAACCTTGGCATAGTGGGACAATGCTCTAACCAACAGCTACCTGGCCAAGGCTTTACTAATATTTTTTTTTTACTAATATTTTTCATCTAACATGAACTTTTCCTCTTTTTTTTTTTTAAATCCTCACCCTAGGATATTTTTCTATTGGCTTTTAGAGAGAGTGGAAGAGAGAGGGAAAGACATAGAGAAATATTGATGTGAGAGAAACACATCAATTGGTTGCCTCCTGCAGGTGCCCCAACCAGGGCCTGGGTTGGGGAGGAGCCTGCAACCGAGGTACATGCCCAGAACCCTTTGGTCCACAGGCCGATGCTCTATCCACTGAGCAAAACCGGCTAGGGCTGAGCTTTTCCTCTTTCTAAAAATTCTTCAAAAGCATTACTGAATGGAGGCATAACAGATACATTATAATGTAATTATTGACTAAATTATTTTCAATTTTTGTCCTATTATAGGTAATGATTCAATGGAATTTTTATTTTATTTTTAAATATATTTTTATGGATTTCAGAGAGGAAGGGAGAGGGAGAGAGAGACAGAAACATTAACGATGAGACAGAATCATTGATCAGCTGCCTCCAGAAATCAAAATGTGGCCTCCTGGTTCATAGGTCAACTCTCTACCCTTGAGCCACGCCAGCCAGGTGCAATGGAATCTTTTAAAAAATGTTATTGTTGGTTTTAGAGAGAGGAAGGGCGAGGGAAAGAGGGATAGAAACATCCATGATGAGAGAGAATCATTGATCGACTGCCTCCTGAAGGGCCCCCACGGGGGATTGAGCCTGCAATCCAGGCATGTCCCTGACCCGGAATAGAACCAGTGCCCTCCTGGTACACGGGACAACACTCAAGCAACTAAGCCATACTGGCCAGGCTGGAATTCTTTTTTTTAAATATATTTTATTAATTTTTTACAGAGAGGAAGGAAGAGGGATAGGGAGTTAGAAACATCGATGAGAGAGAAACATCGATCAGCTGCCTCCTGCACACTCCCCACTGGGGATGTGCCTGCAACCAAGGTACATGCCCTTGACTGGAATCAAACCTGGGACCCTTGAGTCTGCAGGCCGACGCTCTATCCACTGAGCCAAACTGGTCAGGGCTGGAATTCTTGTGTATAAATCTTTGCATGAATGATTTTTTCTTTAAGATAGATTCCAAGAGGTGGACTTACTGAGTTAAATATTTATGATTTATTGTATAAAGCTCTCATTCTACAGTGCAAAATTGCATTGCAGAAGCCCTAGCGGATTTGGCCCAATAGATAGAGCGTTGGCCCTCGGATTGAAGGGTCCCAGGTTTGATTCTGGTCAACGGCATGTACCTCAGTTGCAGGCTTGATCCCTGGCCCAGGTCAAGGCACGTGAGGGAGGCAACCAATTGATGTGTCTCTCTCACATCAATGTTTCTCTCTCTGTCTCTCCCGCTCCCTTGCACTGTCTCTGAAAGTCAATGGAGAAAATATCCTCGGATGAGGATTAACCAGAACAAAAAAATGGCACCATAAAAAACATACCCCCTCACCAGAATGCTGATTTCCCACGTCCTTGTCATGGTTGAGTCTCCTGGGCAAAAATGTGTTTTAAATCTAGTTCGCATGAGAAGAGCAAGCAACCTCAAAATACTAAAAGCATAGCTTTGTGGGCTGACTGGCCTTGACCCAGGTCAGTGAAGAAAAGTGCTGGGACAATTGGTTTAAGCCTCTCATTGGAAAGAATGAGCTCCTTGTAAATTATATTGCAGCTCTTGCTAAACTTACTTATTATAGCAGCTCTTTTTATAGATGCCATCAGATTGTCTGCAAGATGATCATGTTTTCTTAGAATAAAGGCGGTTTTGCTTCGTTTTCAAATTGGAGGCCTTTCCATTGGTTCATATCCTCCCTGGTTAGGAGGTTGTATTTTGGTGCTTCTCTGCATGCCTGGTAATTTTAGTTTGGATGCCAGACATGATTTTCCCTTGAGTGCTGGATATCTCTTTTTAAAATATATTTTTATTGATGTCAGAGAGGAAGGGAGAGGGAGAGAGAGAGGGAAACATCAATGCTGAGAGAGAATCATTGCTAGGCTGCCTCCTGCACGCCCCCTACTGGGGATCGAGCCCACAACCCAGGCATGTGCCCTTGACCGGAATCTAACCCAGGACCTTTCAGTCTGCAGGCTGCTCTATCCACTGAGCCAAACTGGCTGGGGCTCTACATTCTTTTTAAATAAATTTTTGCATATGGTTTGGGGTATGAGTCAAGTTTTCCTTCTTTGATAACATAGCCAATTTTTCAGCACCATTTTGTGCAAAAATGCTTTACTTTCCCTTCTGATATGCTTTATGGTCTTAATGAAATAACAAATGAATTTTTATGGTCAAAAGGGGTCTATTTCTGGGCTCTCTATTCTTTTCCATTGCTCTATTTGTCAATTGTATGCAAGTACCATGCTATCTTAATTACCATATTTTTATATAAAGCCTAGAAGTAAGATAAGTGCTTCAATTTTTGATGATTTGGTTTACAATTATTTTGGCATTTTCACATCCTATCTAATAAAGAGGGAATATGCTTCTTCTTCTTTCTTCTTCTTCTTCTTCTTCATTTTTAAGACCTTAACTATTTATGGACAGATGAGAATTTAGCTCTTTTACACCACTATCTCCTCTACCTTTTCCCCAAATGATTTTGTTCACTTCTTGGGGTTTCTTTTTCCCCTGAGGTTAAAAATCACCTCATTGGCTTAGTTTCTGCAATTTCACAATGGTGATTTAAAAAATATATACATTTTTATTGATTTTAGAGAGGAAGGGGGGAGAGAGAAATAGAAACATTGATGATGAGAGAGTCATCAATCAGCTGCCTCTTGCATGCCCCCCACTTGGGATTGAGCCCACAACCCAGGCACATGCCCTGACCGGGAATCAAACCGTGATCTCCTGGTTCATAGGTCAACGCTCAACCACTGAGCCACGCTGGCCAGACCCTGCTGCTCTATTTAAAATTGCATCCTGCCCTGGCCGGTTTGGCTCAGTGGATGGAGCATCGGCCTACAAACTGAAAGGTCCCAGGTTCGATTCCGGTCAAGGGCACATGCCTGGGTTGTGGGCTCGATCACCAGTGGGGGACTTGCAGGAGGCAGCTGATCATGGATGTTTCTATCTCTCTGTCCCTCTTCCTTCCTCTCTGAAATCAATTTTATATATATATGTAAATTTTTAAAAATAAAATTGCATCCCACTTTCTCTGCACCTGCATCACTGTAACAGGTGTGTGTGGTGGGGGGATAAGAGGTAGGTAGGCGTATCGTGAAGGAGATACAACTGGGACAGTAAGGAATTGTCGGAGATGAAGGAGTTTAAGTGCAATGAAGCCACTGAAGGGTTCTGAACAGAGCGAGACAAGATCCACCTTATATCTTAACAGGACGCCAATGCCTCCCAGGTTGAGAATAGGCCGAGGGCGGGCAAGGCAGGCACAGGGATAGACAGGCAGCCAGAGACAGGGTGCTTAGACCAGGCTGGGGGCAGTAGAGGTGGAAGGAAGGGAGCAGATTCTGAATGGATCTTGAAGGTAAAGCCACCAGCACTTCCTGATGAGCTGGATATGGATGGCCCTGACCTCCTTAAATCCCCAGGAACCCTGCAATGCATTACCCTCCTCCCACAAAGGGGTCCGCAATCCCCCGCCTGCTCCCCATGTGCCCTGCCTGCTCCCCATGTTCCCGGTCTGCTCCCCATGTTCCCTGCCCTCTCCCTATGTGCCCCGCCTGCTCCCCATGTGCCCCGCCTGCTCCCCATGTTCCCGGCCTGCTCCCCATATACCCCGCCTGCTCCCCATGTTCCCTTTCCTCTCCCTATGTGTCCCGCCTGCTCCCCATGTGCCCCACCTGCTCCCCATGTTCCCAGCCTGCTCCCCATGTTCCCCAACCACCCACCTGCCCCAAGAGAAAAGCCACACAGACTCCATTTTCCCAATGTTTAATTAGGAAAAAATGTACATGAACAAAGGAAAACTCATGCAACAAAAGAGGAGAGAGTGGGGTTTCCGGGACCTCGAGATGGGGCCAGATTCCTCGAAAGAGGCAGAAACACAAAGGAGTAAGGCACTGCCGCCTCGGCCCCTCGGGGCGGGCGCAGGACAGGGCAGCTGAGGATGAGGGTCCAAAGGCAAGTCAGACAACACTGAGGAGGTTTGGCAGTAGGGCCGGGAGAAAGTTCTGGAGCCCCAGGCCCAGGTCAGGCCCCGGAATGAACGTCTAGTTACAGCTCTCAGGTGCTTGGAGAGAACGGGGCCCCTTGAGGATGCGCAGTCCAAGTCCCAAGAGGTTTGGAGGGGGACGCTGTGGTCCCGCTGCAGGGGACCCCTTGGCACAGCCACAGTCCGAGGGCAGCTTAGGGTGCATCACCCCAAGCGCTGCTGGTGCCGAGGCCATGGCGAGGGCGAGGTGCCAAGGCTGATGGTGTCACAGGATCAGGACAACTCAAGGAAGAGAATGAGGTTGGCATTATCCC